CAAGATGCAACAACTGAGAAAAAGCAACGGTGCAGGAAAGTTTGACGGGGAACAAAGAGCAACGGGCAAACAAACAAAAATCTAGACGACTGGCTCAGAGAAAGCAAAGTCACGGTGGTGGTGGACCGGTGGCGGTAGTGGTGGTGGTGGTGGTCTCTACCACACTGAGATGTTTTGTTGTGATACGTTTCATAAAATATGCAATTGAACAAACCACCGCAACCAATTCCATTGGAGAATCTTGAGACATATGATCATGGTGCAAGTCAAGGGTTCATTATTTTGAAATGTATTTTTGTTGGAAAAACACATCAAGTGTTTACTATTTTTGGCATGTACAGGAGATATGTAGTTGGGTTTCGGTTTTCCACTATCGCAATGCTGATTTGGTGAGTATTGTTACGGTAAGTCAATCACGCATGAGTGATTTTTAATCACACATGGATGTCATTTCCAATTTATAAAACCTAGAACCAAATGGATGTCATTTCCAGATGTTCACGCCAATTTGAAGAAATTAGTCCATTCTACTTCATAACTTCTAAGACAATATCAATAAGTCACTCATGCATAATAGATGGAAAAAAAAAAACCTCCCACAGAATAACACCTAATAAAAATTTCTACTTGCGCCCCTGGCAACAACGTAACGATCACAACCCTAACGAGGATGAAGCCAAAGTAGGGGTGGTTAAAAAGTTGAGGTCAACAAAATAAGTTGATTTTAGTGATGATGATCGCATGTAATTCGGAGGTGGATTTGAGGTGTTTCAGCTGGGAAAGCATGTAAAAGAAGCCTTTTCCCCCTCTAAATTAAAGATTAGCAGTTAATATTATAAAAGCAAAGTAGACAAGATTAGTCCGCCGTCAGTAAATGGGTGATTAGACAATAAATCAAAGCAATCCATTGATTGCTTTTCTTTGTTAACTTGAAATATAGACCCCACAACTTATCTATCCACCTTTGCCACTTTTCTTTTCTCCTTCTTTTCACACCTTTAATTTAAGTTAACCCAAGTTCTTAAATTACTAATTAAGGGTGTGCGAATTGAACAAAAACATAAAGTTTGATTGACATAGTATACGTAAATATTCTATTCATCACCAGGTGATTAAGAATTGCATTGTCACTTCTTTTCCCCTAGATATTATGGTGTAAAGTAAGTAGATATATATTTTTAAAATATTTTAAGCTCAACTCTTAATGTTAAATTTCCAATTAAATAATCAAGTGACCAAAAGAACGAGAGTCGTGGCATATATACTTTCATGAATTTACTCAAAATCCCGAAATTTCTTGTATGCACGAAAGTTATGCGTAAAAGTGTTTTTCACAACTTTTAGAATTCTTGAAAGTTCAATGGTATACATGTGACACACACGAATCAGTGTTTTTGAATCTGGATCCTCTTTGTGAGGATCTCGAGAATCCGTGAATCATATCCGTTCATTGTACATCGTACAGTCCGTAATTATTTTAAATATTTTATTTAAAATTAAATACAAATAGTACCTGACAAAAACTGATCGTACGATATACGATGAACATATACGATTTACGAATCTCCAAAATCCTCACCAAAATAATATGGAGAAGATCCTGTTGGAATGATGATGTGTACAATAAATTTTCCCAATAAACGGTATACATGTGACACATATGAATCAATGTTTTTATCGAAATTACTTCATGACTTGTACAATAGGCTTTTTTTTTTTCTTTCAAGAAACGCTATACATGCGACACATATAAATCAATATTTTCAAGGATATTGTATCGTGAACGCATGCCTACTCCCTTTTTCCAATTTGAAGAAACAGTGATTCTTTAGTGGTAGATTGATTTGATTACCGACTGATTTAGCAAATAATCATGATTAAAGCATTTACTTCATGGAATTAAAATGTGTTAGAAAAAAGACTACAAATCATCAAAAGCAAATTAATATTGCCTAAATATTTCTAAATTGGCAATTTGATCAGTTGAATAGGAGTTAATTGTACAGTTGAATCTGACTGACGCAACTTCAGAAAATGTCAGTAGCTTAGGACATAAAAGGTGGTAATTAAATCAATACTAATTAGGGTTAATCAACTTTATTAATTAGAAAATTAAACCATAAGCAATTTATATATTTAGCTTGGTCAACAATCTGATTAAGATCCAGCACTGAATTAGTACTTGAAAGCATAAAAAATATACAGGTATTGTTTGGTAGCAGCTGGGAGACTCATGCCAGCCCGAGATAGTTGAATGTTTTGAAGTTCAGTTGAAAGTGAAAGCAATAGCCACTAAACACGTATTTCTACTTTTTAATCACTTGAATATTTTACCATGGCGAATTTAGGATTTAAACCTTAGAAGGTTCCAGTGTTAAATACATATATATTTTTTTAAATAGGAACATAGTTCAAAGCGTGCAAAAAAAAAAAATCAATTTATTCACTTCGTGGGCTTTGTTATGCACATATGTCAATAGATATTGTCATATGCCGAATCAATTTGATGAGTGATATAGAGAGAATTTGTCGAGTATTGTCAACGCAACATATCGAGATATGCCTAGCATGTATTAAATCAAACATTTAACTGACACACAAATGACCCGTACCAAATATTCAGAAAGTCATCAAAAGACATTCACATGTATATTTTCCGAACTCGGATGGTCCTAAACCACCTTAATTCCTATTTCGATCCTCCCCTGCATATAATATATATAGATATATAATATATTACGGGAGACTTTGTAGTGGAACTATTCAATATAAGTAGAATTTAACTTGACGAGGTTTGCAATGCGGAACAGGTAGTTTATATTTCATAAACATGTCTGTTGCTTGATATTTTGAATTCTTTATATATTGAAAGACTAGACGTTACACTGAATCACAAACAAAAACTCGGGAGGCGATCGATGACGTGTAAGTGTTTGGTCATAATATTATATTTGGTCTTAGTTTAGGGGAGTAGTGGTGAATGGGGTTGGTAAGACTGAATTATTTAATGCAGGTTGAAGTGGTCATCTACTACTTGATTACTTTGTCTAATAATTCAAGCGGCCTATAAACCTCTTTTAATTTAAACAATTAACTTCTCTTTTTGCAAATTTAGGATATAAACATTTCAAATCTTTTTGTGGTCCACCAAAATCCCAATACCCAAGAGTGCACAATCGATCAAATTCGTGTATACATAAGAAGAATAAGTTTCACACAAATTATTAAAAGTGAAAAGTTTGCATTCTGCGCAGGGATGGAGTTAGAGATTTTTTTGAATGAGGCATTAAACCAAAAATTTATTAAGAGAAATGAAATGAAATCCACACATATCTTTTATCCTTTTACGCACACTTATGTTTATTTTGTTCATTGATTCTTTTTTTTATTCAATTCAATGGCTAAAAATTCACATGCGAGAGAAGGTGAATGTGTGAAAGTTGATATTACATGTACTATTTTTCCTTTTTAGACCAATGTGAGTGGGGGCATCTGACCCAGTGAGTATATGGTGGCTCCGTCTTTGATTGTGCACAATAAATAATGAATTTCATAACTTTCGATCCAATGCGTAAAATAAGGCTTACAATGTAGAAAACTGACTAATTTCGAAGTTGTATTTTTCTCTGCGTTTCTATTCCATTTGTCTTGACTCATGACAAGTTATAAATTCTCATCCTATCGTATGAAAGTTACTTAGAATTATGTTTATATAGACCCTAAAATAATACAAGACTTTTTTTTATCACGTTCTTTAAAATAAGGGAACTTTGACGAAAAATTTGCGGTACTGTTCACTTTAATGAAAACAATATTTTTACACAAAAAGTCAATCCTGATACTATTTACTTTACCTTTTATTTGTCATTTTCTTTAAAACTCAAAATTTTCAAATCATTTTCATTAGTTTTTCTTTAAAACAATGACACTTGCTTAGTCTTACAATATGATAAACTGTATATACGACTTGCCTAAACAAATCATATCCAAACAGAAGGTTACATTAAATTAGGCACCAAACGTCACAATCATTGGACAATAAAACGCCGTCCAAACACCAAGTGGGTTACATAATTGAAGCCGTTATTCAAATTAGTGACTGTGGTCATGATGACTAATGAGTACCTGGTTTTTTATTACAAATTATACAATTAGAAACAAAATTATGAGAAGACGTAAACCAGTACTACGATTTCATAATATTATTCTTCATTCATAAATAAGAAATTTTATATTCAACTTACGGTGTTACTCAAATAAAAAGATATATATTATTTGTATCCATTTAAATATTAAGTTATAACTGACATATTATTTGACTCATACAATATTATGAGCAAATATCCGCTCTCGTAAAATAAAATATCGTTATATAAAATAAATGAATGAGTAGTTATTTGATTTGGTTGAGGGGCACAGTGTCTCCCACTAATATATGTATAAAAAAAGGAGTCATGTAGTCATATTGTATCAAAGTCTCTCTCATCAGTCCATTAGTCCAACTAAAAAGCCACTAGTGTCGCCTACTTGTTACTGAACTCCCTCCCTCCCTCCCTCCCTCCCTCCCATATTATTATATTACCATGCACATTAGAAATGCCGATGAAGCTGTATATTTGGATCAACACACCAATTCAATTCATTGCAAATTTGACTCCCAAAAAAGGAACCCTTGTCTTACATGCTTATTGTTCATTGGTCCGTTTGTGAATGCTTACGTAGAAAGAATTTCAGCTCATAAGTGCTTTTACAAGAAGCACGTTAAAATGCTGAATAAAGTGTTTTTACAATCCATAACCACTTCTAGTTGTTTTGTATTGTAAGCACTCGAGTCACCTGAAAGCGATTTTAGTCGATCTAAGGTTGAAACAATCGTGTGTCTAGTCAGCGTGTCCAAGTTGAAGGTAGTAAACAGATTACTCATTATAAAAACTTATTCATTCAATCCCACAAAATGATTGGATTATAACGAGTAATTTTTCTTCATGTCTAATCCCCCATGAAAAATCAGAACCCGACCATCAATATATCTCGAATACGGCGTTATCCATTCAAGTCTAATCATGGATATCAAACGAGGCCGATACGTTAAACAAATTCACCAGCAAATCAAAAGTCCAACAAATCGCCTAGAGAGGCCCTCAACCAAAAACAGTATCACATCCATGAATATGCTGGCGGTTTAACACATAAAACCGGCTTATCCAACAAATACATTCTGAGATTTATTCCCCATTGCTGCAAAAATACACATTCAAATCCGCGATTGAAATTATTGATACTTTGGATCGCATCAGTTTTTAAAACAGATGAATGCAATAAATTATTAGTCAAGAAGCTGTACCTACAACAATTGACAGAATTATTCTTTGCGGAGTCACTACATGCTCGTAAAAAGATTTTCTGCGTGACTATGGATGACCGGGTCTGTAGTCTAGTCGGACCCTCTCAGTAGACACGAGCTTTAGGTGGGAATGTCTCGATTTCATCATCTAATGTGTTCATGTGAACCGGTCTGTAGTCTAGTCGGACCTTCTCATTTTCCCAGTATCTGCATAGAAAACGAACATAATTTATTCAATGAAATGCCAAGAATAGATAACGACATATTTCCCAAAACGGTCTCGGTTAGAACTTAGAATACACAGCTAAACAAAGAACGTGCATTTTTAATAATTGAGTCTAAAGTTCCTTGCGACTTTGGAAGTCCCTCATCCAAACAGAGGGTAAAAAGGTGTGAAGTTTTAAAATATAAAGACAACAGTCTAATGAAACCTTCACGGTTACTTTTGAACTTTGCCTAGAGGAGATAAACTGTTTGATCTATCAAGTAATTGTGAAGCGACAATTTTGCCTAACCGACCATTCTACCTGTGTTTTCTCTTTAATTTCATATTATTCTTTTTTTTTTTTTGGTAAATTTAATATTATTCTTAAGAGGATGGAAAAAATGACTTACCCCAATGTATGTTTTATCCATTTCTCATCATCCCTTGTCTGCAAAACCAGAGGAAATTCATTTATATAATGGTATGGAAAAGATATTCTAACTAAAAGAAACAGGACTAACCGTGAAGTCTTCACGAGCATGTGCTCCTCTGCTTTCTTTCCTGGCTTCAGCAGAATGCATGGTGATACAGGCATTTATCAAAAGGTTTTCCAACTCTATGGTCTCTATCAAGTCAGAGTTCCTGTCAAAAGATATTATTTTTGAATCGTAAGCTAATGAAATAAATAAACAAACGATATACTTATTTGTCAACATTCTCGTAAAAAAAAATTTCACCATATCAAACTCCGATCCTTCAATTGAACCTCATGAAAGCTCTCCCAAGCCTTGTCAATCAACTGAGCACCTACAAAAGGATCACAGAAAAGGGGGTAAATAAAAGGTTGCAACAGTAAGTGATCTCCAACCTAAAAGTTTGGGAAGAATATGAGATCTTCAGTTGAAAGAGAATGCAATAAAGCAACTTGATGTATCCCGAAAGCTAGAAAATGGGGTAAGGGCACTGTAACTTCTGTCAAAAGGAATACCTTCTTCTAATGTTTCCTGTGTGCGGAACACAGCAGCATTATTTTGCATTATTCGTTGCATATTCAACCGGATTTTTGAAGTTGGTAATGAGCCATTAGAATTCCTTATTTTGTCCAACCATGCAATGGTCTTCTCTCCAGCATCCTTTGCCAGAGGCTTTTGTTTCTCCCCTACACAAACCAATTAGAGAAGTTTAAGTTTTTCATCTGTATATTATTATTGATTTATCTTCATTAGCACGAAAATAAGCTTACCCGGTTTATGGATCTCTGCAACTCTATTTGCACAAGCTCGACCAAAAACAACAATGTCAAGGAGTGAATTTGCACCAAGCCGATTGGCACCGTGAACAGATGCACAGGCTGTCTCCCCCGCTGCCATTAACCCAGGTATTATTGAATCTGGATCATCTCCTTTGATGGTAAGTACCTGAAAAATAAGAGAGCATGTTGGTCAGCAAAAGCAAACTTTCACCCTACATTGCAGACCATTGACTAAATAATTTGACATAAATTATATCAACTCATACCTCTCCGTGGTAATTTGTTGGAATTCCACCCATATTATAGTGCACAGTAGGTAAGACAGGAATAGGCTCCTTTGTAACATCCACACCAGCGAAAATGGCAGCGGTTTCAGAGATACCAGGAAGCCTCTCCTTCAGTACATCTGGGGGCAAATGATTCAAGTGGAGATAGATGTGGTCCTTCAAAGGTCCTGATGAAAGCAGCTGTAACAGTTACTAAAACACGCACCAAAAGCATAGAAAATGGATAGCAGGGGTCTTTCTCAAAGATACACAGCAGTGTCAGTATGGATAAAGGTCAATATCATTTCTGAATGCATCATTACCTACACCACGACCCTCCCGGATTTCCATAGTCATAGATCTCGACACAACATCCCTAGAAGCAAGATCTTTCGCTGTAGGGGCATATCGTTCCATAAATCGCTCACCTTCACTATTTCTTAGGATACCACCTTCCCCTCGTGATCCTACAAAAAAAAATAAAAAATCATAATATACAATTTTCCAACTTCAAATTGAACTGTGACTAAAGCAACAAGATAATAACAAATAACAAGGTGAGATTACATAGTAGATCACTAACCAAAATTTAGGTTAACCTAACAAATATATCAAAACCTTAAGAATCTAACCTTCAGTGATGAGGCACCCAGCACCATATATACCAGTAGGGTGAAACTGCACAAACTCCAAATCCTGCAGAAGGAATACAACAATAAAATATATAAATAACGACAGTGAACACGTACTTATAGATTAAAGAATGGCAAGGACCTAAACACAAACCTGAAGCGGGAGCCCAGCACGTGCAACCATGGCATTACCATCTCCAGTGCAGGTATGGGCTGAGGTTGCAGAAAAATAAGCTCTACCATAACCCTGAGAGAAACACAAAAGATAGATTTGGATATGATTGCTTAAATGAAATAAGGTGAACGTCAATGATATATCTCCAATGGGAAAAAAAACAGAAAACGTACCCCTGTGGCCAAAATTGTTGATGATGCTTGGAACCGATGTAAAGTCCCATCCTCCATATTTAATGCAATGACTCCTTGGCAGGTCCCTGAATATTTAATATTTCAATAATCAATTACCTTAACAACATGCACACTGGATATACAAACACAATTCTTTTTGTCATGTTTCATTTGCAATTCTATCAATACAGTGGACACAGCTGAACATTTTACACAATATAGAATACCCTGGTAATATACCAAAGCATCAGCATATAAGACCAAACCTGCAAAATGGTGAGGATTAAGATTTATACATTTAAGTGGAAGTACCATTTCACTAAAAGACACTTAAAGTTTATGAATTTAATGTACAAGAGCATGTTATCAAATCAAATTCATCTAATATGTAGTGTATTACAACTTTCTTCTCATGAAAGGCAAGTCTGAATATAACTAATTACTTCTGATATTCTTCTGGTTTGTTGAAACGTTTGTCTTCCTATTGTTCAATAACCAAAACAAATGGATCGCAACTTGCACTGATTTTATTTGTTTTTTTCATTAAATAAGGTGCGTCTATTATGCATCAACTTACCCTCACTGTCCATTAAAAGATCCAAAGCAAAGTATTCAACAAAAAATTGTGTATTATGTTTCATAGCTTGTCCATAGAGAGTATGCAATAGAGCATGCCCAGTTCTGTCAGCGGCACAAGCACAGCGGTATGCCTGTCCACCTGTAGGGTAGCAAGATAAAGGTAAAGGAAGCCAATGTCAGACAATAGAAACCATAAGATAAACATACCAACTTCAAAACTGCACGGATGCATTGTCTTACCTTTTCCAAAGTCAAGACTTTGACCACCAAATGCACGTTGATATATTCTTCCATCTTCAGTTCGAGAAAATGGCAATCCATAATTCTCAAGTTCAATCACAGCTTTCGGAGCCTCTCTACACATATATTGGATGGCATCTTGATCACCTATAGAAACACGAAACCCTTACATGTTAAAATACAACCAAAAAGTCATAAAACCACATAGCCTATGTTGATATGTCTGCAAGTGTACGTTGGTGGTGTAACTCTGCAAGAATATGGGTGCCTAGGAAATCATTACACAGCTAAATAGAACAACCCTTTATAATCTATACAACCAAGTGTTTACGTGTAATGCCCCCAGTCAAACATCAAATGAAAATCATAATCGGGTCAAGATTAACAGGTAACATACCCAGCCAATCGCTTCCTTTGACTGTGTCATACATGTGCCATCTCCAGTCATCCTCAGTCATATTTCCTAATGCAGCATTTATACCACCCTACACACAACTCAGGGCATAAACAAGGATATCCAACCGAAAGAAACGAACTTTACAGAGACACATAATTTCAAGGGAGCTATATGCAATAGTAGGATTAAGTTGCAATATCTCTTACCTGGGCTGCAACGGTGTGTGAACGAGTTGGAAAAAGCTTAGTAATGCAAGCGGTGTTAAATCCATGCTCTGAAAGTCCGATGGCTGCTCTCAGCCCTGCACCACCAGCCCCGACAACCACAGCATCATAAGTATGATCCACCACAGTGTACGGAGAACGTCCTGTAGCCTGCCAACCTCAAAAGGCACAATGTTATCATCAAATACAATCGATCACAAAGTAATAAAATTAAACTTGCGCAGATTAAATAATAATCAACTGAACAAATACAGTGCTTGCATTTTTAAAAGCCAAAAACAGTATCTTTGAATCCAACTTTATCTTTCAAAGGAAGCTAATCCAATTATCAGCAATGAGGTCGTTTGAGGCCGTTTCAATTTCGAGAGAAAAAAAATGGAGAATCAGACACATTTAAGCTTAGATTCCCTTATTTTCCAGCTATTTCTCGGCAACCAAACAGACAAGGAACGCAAAAAATCAAGTACATGCATATATACAATGACAAATACCAAAACAATCAGCTGGAATCCCATTAAAATCCAACAAAATTTATAAAAAAATCCGAAAAACCAAAACTTTACAAACAAACAAACAGTTTCGGATCAATTCCGATGAAGCTAAGAAGAACAAGATTAGAAAAAACCCTAAGATTGAGATAGTGATCGTACGGATTCGGAGGAGAAGAGCCTGGGGAAGTGAGATCTAAGAGAGTCACCGGAGGCGGATCTCTTGGAGGAAGAAACGCCAAGCCCACGAGAAACGCAGCGCCACATGTCGCCGGAAGCAGTGGTAGCTCTGAGGGGGGTGTTTGGTTACGAGTTTACCTCAGGGGATTGGAGTGGGAGGGTCTCTGCTGTTATCGGGTGTTTGTTTCTTCTCGGCGTCAGAGTGGAGGCGAAATGTCAAGCGCAGCAACGAAATGGGAATAAAGTGGACAGTGGGTTTTGCGTATTGTGGCGTCAGCGTGTGATTAGCGAAAGCTAAACAGTTAAAAAGGAGTTAAAAAGTTTCACTAAAATTTTGTCTCGTGCTTCTTTGTTCCTCGCATTTATCACAATTTGTCACGAATTTAGTGATATTTTTTATTTGTAATTGATAATTTTAAAATCAAATTTCGTAAGTTTTAAGTTTGATATTAATTTATTTAATGGGAATTGTTATCAGTATTTCAAAATTTTTATCCTACACTTCTCATAAGTGTATTTTTTTCTTATAATTATAGAAAGTTTGGAGTGTCAAATGAGATTTTTGAAGTGCTAATAACAATTCCCTATTTATTTCTTCCATTAGTAAGTTTGAAGTGCTAATTATAGAAAGTTTGTAAGTTTGATATTAATTTATTTAGTCATATATATATATATATTTTAAATGAAAACTCATATGTTTAATTATCATAAATGATGAATTCGATATTAATTCCACAAGCTCAACGTTTTGCTAACATCACTTCTGGAGAATATTTGCTTCATAGTTGTCAAATTTGTTGACATATTTGTGTATAAATATCGCAATGGAATTTAGTGATTGTTTATTGACCACGCTTCATATGCAAAAACCTCACATTGATCACTTTCCTCCTCCCTTTTCTTTAATTAATTTGTTATAAGTCGGTTTAGCATGTGTGATTGGATAATGTCCGCCTATTGGCATCATAAAAGTGCTTTTAGGAAAGGACTTTTATGAGTCGACGTGGAAGTCCAATATTTTGCAGGTTTGGTAGGAAGGGCTGCGGGTGCTATTTAAGCCACGATGGACATAGAGAAGACAAGGTCCATGTGGCATTTGATCCACCATTTGCTGATAGACTTCGAGTTTGAATTGAATTTGGATTAGAAATTAGGAATAGTATCGTATCATGTTGTCACATATATGTCTACACAAATTAAAAGCAAATATAATCAAGAACAAACATTGGTTTATCTGATAACTAATCATATCCGTCAATGATTAAGTTACATGAACTACCTCTTAGTTTAATTGTAATTTTATTTCTCAATTGAAAAAAACGTATGTATGAAAACACCTGATTGTTATTAAATTAGTCGTAAATTTAGTGTTAATTTTCAAAACGCTATCGAAATGGAGAGTGTCTCAGACTTTTCAATTAGAGTTTATGAGAGTTTCTCATTTGGGATTGGGCCGGACTTTTTGCTAATTATACACAGTTTTGGGCCAGTACCAGATATTCACATCTGATCTGAAAAATTGGATGTGGGAACGCATCAAATGGACTTAGAGCCCATCACATGAATATACAGGCTTTGTTTTGTCCGGACCCCGGAATTAAGTTGGGCCGGATACAAAGCTGTACTAGGTTGGGTCAAAGCCCAAATCTCAATTTTGCAATTGCCTTCATCTTTCCCCCACAACTATGAAGGCTTAACTATGTCCTTCACAGTCACACATTGCCCTGCAACAATATATTTAAAGGAAAAATAATAAAAAGAACTTGAAAACTTTGAGTTTTAACGATAAGAATAAAATAAAGGGTAAAATGAATAGTATCGGGATTGACTTTTTAGTGTAAAAGTGTGATTTTTCATTAAAGTGAACAATATCGCAGGCTTTTGGTTAAAACTCCCTATATTTAATGGGGGTCACTGATTTAGAAGGATGTGAGATGTGGATCAGGTTATGGAATATATTGAACATCAAGTTCAAAGGCACAAATCTTACATTTAGAATTAAGTTTGGCATAACTGGGCTCTACTGTTTGATTCGGACCCATGACCCGTCATTTCTAAGAGAATGAAAACATACACCAAAATTTGCGTTATGCGTCAAGTGAGCGTATTGGGCCAAATTTCATTAATTACAGTGTTTAGGGTTTTAAGTTTTAAGGACGTTTTAGACGTTTTGTTATTCTATTAATATTTGGACTCTAGAGCCTAAAAAAGACATTATAAATAGAATGATTAGGCTTTAGGAAATTAATCAATAAGTTTTGATTTGTTCTTATATTTTTATGGTGGATTTCAATTTTCTGGTTCTTTCACGTTAGCATTGAATAATTGATTTTTTGTACTATGTCAGTGTTTGGACATGTATGTGTTATAATTGTTAGGGTAAACTATCATTTTTCCACTTGAACTACCACCCTATTGTTAATTTATCCCCTAAACTATTTTTTTCAGCCAATTAACCCCCTGAACTATATATAATGTGCCAATTTACACCTTACCGTCAAACTTTTAAACTTCCTTCCAAATTCTGTTAAAAAAATCAATTCTTTAATTTAAAAAAGAAGATCACTTTTAACTATTAAAGTAAAACTAAAACTTGAAAAGAAAATAAAAGGAGACCTTATTTGCTAGTCCACATTCCTTTAACCCAGCAATTCCATATCCTTCCCTGCCCGAACTCCACCCCCACCCAACCCGCCACCTTCATCACGATTCTCTCTCTCTTTCTCTCCCTCTCTAAAAAAATTGTGGGGTTAGCGGTAGATTTGAAGTCCATATTCGGGCAGCCCAAGGTGGAGGGGCGGCTAACGATTCGACTCCATTGCGCCGATTCTGATTCAACTCCATTGAGCCAGTTCCAATTCAACTCCACCGAGCCGGTTCCGATTATGCCATGCCACCACAGCTGATCATTTGCACCTTAGAATCCACATCACGGATTCCACTATAATCATTGGGAGTCTGGGAGGCCATTCTCTCTCTCTCTCTCTCTCTCAACCAATCCTTCGTTTGCTATTTGCAAGGGTTTTTTTTTTTTTTTTATGTTTTGGTTTTTTATTAATTTTTATTAATTATTATTTTGCGTTGGAAATGACAAAATCACCCTTATTTTTAACATCTAAATGGATGGAATTTAACAAATTTAATAGTAAGGAGTACATTGGCCAATTTTTATAGTTCAGGGGTAAATTGGCTGAAAAAATAATTTAGGGGGTAAATTGACAATAGGAAGATAGTTTAAGGGGGAAAATGACAGTTTACCCTATTTGTTAAAGAATAGGATTCCACAATGGTCATGTGATAAAATAATATCACCAGAGTCTTTTATGATAAAACTCAACACCTATGAATATATAATTTTTTTTTGAACAAACAATATTATCTACACTAAGGGGAGGAGGTGGACTTAGCCTTACAATGGGGCTAGGAATAATATGGTTCAAATTCGTCTTTGACGAGAATTGAACCTAAGAAAGGAATATCACTACAACGTAGTATTAAGTGGCCTATCAATATGTGTTGGAACTCAATTTGTCCCACATTGGACAGAGAGAAGAAGAAAAAGCAGTTTATATAGAATTACCCCACTCTAACTAACATCAAGACCTTTTGTGATAAAACCTCACGCCTGAGGATTGAGCAGGTGGTAAAGTAGGGACAATATCGGTGTTGTTAGAGTAGGCTCTCGGCTCATTGACCTGAAAAATTTCACATAGTATTAGAGTCAGGGGGTGGGCTCGTATTGCCATGTGATTGGGTGGGTCCCTGTTTGGCCTCGCGCGATGGGTGAGTCCCGACATGCCTCCACGTGGTTGCCGATGTGTTACCCTACTCTAACTAACATTGAGATCTTTTGTGATAAAATCCCACACCTGAGGATTAGGCAGGTGGTAAAGTGAGAATTGTATCGATGTTGTTAGAGTGGACCCTCAGTTCGTCGAATTAAAAAATTCCACAATATGTAATTAAGTTGCGACGATAGTGACAATTTGTAGTGGACTTGCAAAGCTTATCAATATTGGACGATATTCGAAAACTTAGGAATCAATTTGTACCTAAACCTGAAAACTATAGAGAGAAGGAAGATGCTGGAAAATCATATAAGTTGAAAATTTTGTGTGGCCAATTATACATGATGCCCTTTAAAACAAAAAGAGACCTATTGATCGACAATGATTTCGGTTAGTTTTCACTGTCGATCCCTAATCACTATATCCATCCTAATTAAGGTCCACATTTCATTTCTTAGAACCATAACGTGCCAGCTTCCTAGACCTCAGGTCCGGAGTGAGGGAGATCAATGATCGACAATTCGACATTCGACAAGAACAAAAACCCATTAATCATTTCAGAAGCTAAGGAAACAGCAAGAACAAAACAATTCCACATTGGAAAGCGAAATAAAACCTAACAAGGACGATTACTGTTGCACTACAGGGATAAAAAACCCATTCATATTTTGGGTGTTCCCCTCCAGCACGCTCAGACTTCTCCTCTCACCTCTCCCTTTCGGTAATCATTTTCTCTCTTTTTTCTTTCAAATTCTTCTTCTTTGGGCATGAAAATCAGTTGCTGAAGAGCTCAGATCTCCATGCCGTAATTTATCGATCTTTTGTTGGATCTCATAAATACAATATGAGAGATTGAGGGAGAAGCATAAATACAATATGTAAAGTTTAACGGATTCATTATTTTCTCTGTTCTCCTCGTTAAATCTAGCGAGCACAGTTCACCGAACTAAAATAGCGAGTCTTTTGAGTTATGATTTTATGCGTTTTTCCGTTAATATAGCGAAACAACCTCATTTAGTGAAGCTATTGGTGATGCTTTTATAGCAATAAAGATTTAATAAAGGTAGTGATTTAGCTTCTACTCTATAATTTTATCATATTGCTGCCGAATAAGCGATGTAACAATTGTGATAATGAGGGTCACTCATTTATTTAATTATAGGCTTGGATGAGGGATAACCTAACAACTGTATAAAGATTGTCTTTACTCTCACAATACACGCCCTATTCCAATGCTAAACCCTATTCACTAGCAAGACCATTTAGATTGCAGAGAGTAGAACAGAGTTCTGAGATCAAATTCCAACCATGTCTTGGAATTCAAGAGATAAATCTATTTCTTTTATGTCCATTTGGTTTATTCAATATGTCATCCTAATGTCTTATTATTGTTCTTTTCAGCATATATCTTACAAGGTAACACTGGTGAGAAATACATAGAAAACAAAAGGTTACTGAGCCGTGGACTTATTGCTGTTCAAATGTTAAAGTTATTAGAGCAGTTCAAAATACCTATTCGATAGGTGAGCATCAAACAGTAAATAGCAAAAACGATGGAAATATAAATGATTAATATTTTACGGTAAAAAAGAAAAATAAATATTATTACATATAAATAAATAATTTACCCTCGAGTCTCTCCCAACATGCATGAAGGACTCAAGACAAAATCAAATTTAATGAGACAGAAAAGGAAGACGAGATATTTTGTTTATCCTCTAGGGTTTTTGCATATATGCAGCTTGGTGAGAGTGGTCCTAGCTAGTATATATCATCCGAGTAGCTGTAGCAGTACATTTGGTCTTTTTCTTCCTTTTTTTTTTGCATCTGAGTACGTCTAGTAGTACAAGAAAGACTCATCTACTTATCTACACTTCCTACGCCACCATGACAACTGTGTTCTTACAAGACGTTGTATCATTAGTCCGGATATCACAGTTGCATACCAAAGTGTAGGAAAGTCTCTCATATCCCTGGTGCAGTAGAAACAATGGAGTCTGATTTGATTTGATTCCAATCTAATTTCATGGAGTTTAAAATTGTTGGGATTATATGAGATTAGTTTGGTACGTAGCGGTGGGCTGTGATTGGTAGGCCATTTTGGAAATCGACGAAGGGGAAAGCAAAAGGTTTGTCGAAAGGATCGGCTAACTCCCAGTGGAAGTTGAGGACAAGGTGGTGGATGAACACGGCCATTTCAAGTTTGGCCAATTCTGAACCGGCGCAAAGTCGTGGTCCTCCCCCAAATGGCATAAAGTTGTGACTTGTCATGCTCGTGTAGCATGATGATGACGACGATGATCCACGGTGGTGGTGGTTGTTATTCTGCTGCATAATCATTAACAACACAAATAATTAATCACCATGTTAGACATCTAATCAAACAAAAAGCTTTTTTTTTTTTTTTTTTTTTTTTTTTTTTTTTTTTTTTGTAAGCTCATTGGGACCTATACAGGAAAGGGAGAAAGTCTAGGGTGAGGTTGTTCAACACAACAACAACAACAACAAACTCGCATTTGAGTGGGACTACTTGCATTTAAGCCCATCTGGTCCCACTTCTCGCGTGTGTTGTTGCATGAGGCATCCTTGTCCAAAACTCTCCTTTTGTATGAGTTACTATCTGTACAGTCTAAGTGACGGATTCACTAAGGAGCAAAAGGGGTCAATTTACCCTGCAGGCTCGGTTTATTCCCATTAAATTCTTAAGAGTTACCTCCAACATATTTGACAAAATGCCTCAAAGAGCCAACTTTACTGTTCGGGAAAAATTCGAGGGCTTCATTTGTGCAGTACATGATATACATCTAGAACTATGTTAGTTTCTAGGTTAGCTTGCATTATCATGGTGAGTGTGACTATTGCACCATAATCATTGCAAATTTCATATAAGTTCCGTGGTGTACTCTCTTAAACCTTTTGTGACGGATGGACTTTGTAAGTAAGTGTCTATTCCCTTGTTTGTTTGGGATATTCTGGATCAGCTTTTTGGGCTTTTTCTCCTTTTGTCAATAAAGAAGAAGAAATTGGTCAGGACCAGTTTGGCATTTGACCCACTAGAAAAGCAAAAGCACTTATGTGCACGTGCATGGCACCATGATGATACCCCACGTCCACATGGGAGCTCTAAAATTCTAATCTTCTCCCAACCCTAAAGTCTCTCCCCACAGCACACTAGGGCAACAAAGAAAAGCAAAGGAAAGTTGGGACCTAATGTAATGTCCGTACACAGTAAGCAGCTTCCAATCCTTTCAATTGGATGATCTAGACACTTCATCTGAATGGGAAATCTACGAGATCTCTCATCATATGCCTTTGCAACTATATCTTGTTATGCCTTATCTAATGGGATTCGAGAAGCGTCGACAACGAATCAAAATTCCGACTAGGTCAATTATAACCAGAAGGTACATTTCTTATTCGTAGTATGTCAAATGTGATATTTTATGTATCTGATAAAAAGAGACGTATAACTGTATTGCTAATACTGGTTCATAAATATCAGAATTAGAAAGGAGTTAAATTTTTTTGGATCTCTTTGTTAAGAGTGGATCCATAACTAAACAACCAATGGCTGCTCTGTAGGAGCCACAAGAACAACCAAAAGGATGGTGTGCCAGGTACTCTTTTTACTTTTATTTTTAGCTTTGACACAAAGAATTATTTAAAGGAAAATAATAATGAAAAATAACAATTATGAGGCATGCTGTACAAAGGCCAAAGGTATTGACTGACCTGCCATCTCCATGGATTGAAGTGTTGCGGGTGGTCAAAAAGTAAAGGATCCAAATGCACGGCTGCAATCACCGGAAGCACTTTCCACCCAGATGGAATGTCATACCCTTTCCAAGTTTCAAACACCAAATCAAATATAAATAAGAATTCATCCCAAGTTTTTTTTGTCGAGAAAAATTTCAGTAGAACAACCTAATCGGCTTAATGATAAGCATTCACAAAAGATCAAGTTCCGTCATATTTGGTACCATCTGACCTCATGCAGGTAAATGTTCCAATGAAACGACTCTGTCCTTTGTAAGAGGCTTGATCATTAAACTGATTATGCCAGGTTGCTCTATTGAATGTTTTCTTGCTTGGTCATTTGTACTTACCTATAAATTAGTCTGACATGTAGGTGTAGAATAATATATTTATTTTTGTACTTCTGTTGTATTATTCGTCTGTGCTAAACTGAGATTTAAAGTAAAAAGAGAGTGGCATAACCGGCCTCATCTTCCAGATGACTTTTTGGCTACAAACACTAAATTATCCTTGACACTCACCTTTGTACCGAACATCCTTCAGAGCCTTTCTGTGTAAAAATCTCACCACATTCCCAAGCCGAAGTGTCTCACAGATTACCTTCACAAAAAGACATCAAAACTTTCAAATCTTGAAATAATTTTTTTTTAAAAAACTTTAACGAAAAGCTTCCGGTCCACTAAAAAGTCAATCCTGATATTATTCAGGTTACCCTTTATTTTGTCCTTATTGTTAAAACTCAAAATTTTCAAACATTTTTTCATTAGTTTTTTTTTTTTTTTTACTGCATAAAGTTAAAACTTGAACCCATGATTAAAAGACTTACACATTCGGTGAACTCCATTTTCTTGTAGTCCTCCCAATTCAACTCTGTCTCGCCTGCCAGTTTCTTGGCTTTGGCAATTTCACTGTGTTCTTCCTGCAGAACAAATCAAATCCATAAAAAAAAATTTTAAATATAATCAAAACCAAAAAGAAGGATTAAAATTAATATTTTTGACTTACCCTTAACTGCAGAATTGCATTAGGGCAGCTTGGTAAAAAGTAAATTGCTAAGGCTATAGACACTGATGAAGTTTCATGGCCAGCAAAGAGCAAGCTCAATATTAAGTCAAGAATTTGCTCCTTTGAAAGATTTGAATTCTTCAGAACCCATCCAAGCAGATCATCTTCCCCAATGTTTTCGGTTCCCTCCATCAATCTTTCTTTCATTTTGCACTCTATAAACTTCAGAATCGTTGATCTTGACTGTAAAAATTTCAATAGAAATGGTATGAAAACAGTAAAAAGCTCAACTCTGATGACCTCCCGTGTTGAAAAATGTTGATTAATTTACCTGTAAGGCTCTTCTGTAAGCTGTTCCTGGTAAATTCAGAGGAGGAGAAACCACACCTTTCATGAAAGTAACATACAATTTCTTCAGCTGCTCAGTCTCTGGTTTTCCAGGATCCAAGCTCATGATATGTTTGGCCATCAAGTTGAACGTGAACTGCAATCACTTTTTCAAAAAGCCCAGTTAAGCTTCTTTCTTTTATTAATTCGCAAGCATTCATTTCACAAAATGTTAATATGCAATGATTTTCGCACTCTCGTTTTCTCCTTCTGCACTCCTCTTATTTCTATCTCGCGATTCTCTTTTAGTTTATTCAATTATTGGACGAGAAACAAGGAGAGGAGTGCAGAGACACAAAAGCAGACTGCGAAAATCGCTTTCCGATTTAATTACCTTCTTAGCTTCATCCTGAGCTGAAAAAACAGAGTTTTCCTTCCAACTCCCCAAAACAAGAAGAGTGTGCTTTTCAACTTCTCTCATCAGATGGGTTCTGAGTCTGGCATGGCTCAAGAAGTTGAGAGATATCATCCTCATGTCTCTGTGCATGTCACCGACCAAAACCAGCATGGACCATTTCCCAAGAATCCCTCCTATGCTTCTTGGGTAGCTGCATTCAAACAATCTCCCTTCATTCTGCAATATGAATCTGTTGAGCCCTGCATCTGCTGACACAATTGTTGGCTCCCCAAACAAATTCGACTTGTAAATTTTCCCGTACCTGCAGAATTTTCAAGCAAAAGTTTAAGTTTTACATAAAAACGTAGCCAAGTTAGCCAGAGCAGCGTACTCGGCCCTCTGCACCCAAGTTCGAACATCGCCCGAATCAAAAAAATAAAACATGGGTTTTGAAATTCAAGGATTTTGGATTTCTGGGTAATTGTGACTCTTTTACCTTGAGATATGCTCCTCCATGAATTTGCCAATGGTGATTGCAGAGTAGGGCTTCAAGTAGCCAATGGTTTCACCAAGAAAAGGCCAACCCATGTTTCCTGGCGGGAGATTGAGTCTGGTTTTCTGGTTCTGCTTCCTTCTGAGAAGAATGAGGAAGAGGAAGAGAGCTACAATTGATGGAAGAAGACAGAGAATAATCTCTGAGTCAGACATGGAGGCTGCTGCTGCCTTCTAACTTCTGTTTTTCTTGCTGTTTTCTGTGGGAGTTTTTAATTTTAGCTGAAGCTGTTGTAGTACAGAAATGAAATAAGATCTCTGCTTCTTTGAAGCTCTGGAGCTGTGGAAAAGCAGCTTCTGAGCTTATTCTTAAATAAAAGGAGGTTTTGTGAAACCAAAAACTAAATGAAAAGCTTCTGCTGCCAGTGGGTCACTTATTATAAGCTTCTTCATTTTTGTCCAAAAACATGTTCGAAAACTCTGAATTTTAATAATAAGGATAAAATAAAAGATAAAATAAATAGTATTAGGATTAACTTTTTAATGTAAAAATATAATTTTTCGTTAAAATGAACAGTACCAAAATTGTTCGTTAAAATTATCTTTTTTTTTCCTGCATTAATTTATATACTATATGTATAAATATATAATTGCACATATACAATTAGGGAGTATTCTTGTTAACATCGCCATCTCTTTCAAGGAGGTTTTGTGAGCAAGGAGATGGTGAAGTCGACAAGAATACTTCCTATTAAGTATGAAATTAAAATAAATAGAGCAAAAAGGATGGTGATAACAATGAGAAAATTTTTAAACGAAAGAGATGACGATGTTGTTAATGGCGTCGCAAAATATGGACGGAGGCGGTACCGGAGAAATGGAGGTGCTCTCCATTTTCGTGAAGAAAATTGGTTCTTTTTTATCTTCTTCTGTTCCGTTTAATCTCTTGGTACAACTCAAAGGTACTGAACAATATCTTATTTATTCTCTTAGAAGAATTCTTGTAATTGAAAATAGATTGAACAATTTGTTTGTGCAGTTGAAGTCAAGAAAACGCATTCAGAAATAATAGAGGGGGGATTCTATCAAATTTTCATTTTTTTTTCTTAATGGTTAACTTAAATTTTCTTATTTATTTATAAGATGATTTTATTGGCTTATTATATTAGCACCCCACAAATTATTGAATAAACCTCACATACTTAATACACCCCACATTTGCTTTTTCAATTAAAAATTATTTTAATACACCACATTCTTAATATACACCTTACATTTTCTACATAAACCCCACATTTTTTATATACCCCACATTTCTCAAATCTTATAACACTCATTTTTAATTTTGCCGAATGATTTCAAAGTATCTGAACGTTAGTTTGCCGAATGATTTCAAATTGAATGATTTGAAAAATGTTTAGGTTCATTTGATCGTTTTTTAATAACAATAATAATGATTTCAAAGCTTTCGAAACACTGATTTTGTGTTTCATTCGTCAAAAATAATTTTTTTCAATCAACATGTTTGTAGTTTCATTGCTTATGGTTTTATTCAACAAGGGAGGGTGGGAGGGATTTTTGATAGTTGAAGTAGATAAATAATACGTTAAAAATGATTTGGGGTGTATTTATAAATTTTTTATTATTTTTTAAACATAATAAGATCAAAATTGTCATTGCATAGTAGAGTAAATAAGTCATTAATATTAATTTTTAATGTGGGGTGCATTCAACATTTTGTGGGGTGCTAATATAAAAAGCCATTTTATTTTGTTAAGTAATTAATTACAAGGGTAAATTTTGTCTTTTAGAGACAGATTTTAGACCAAATGGGTATTTGTGAAAGTGAATTAAAACCTTAAGAGGTGTTTGTGTAATGTTTAAAACTTGATCGGGTTTTGTGAAAACTCAAAAAACCTCAAGAGATGTTAGTGTAATTAACCCTAATCACTTCAAGAAATTAATGTAAATAATATGGTGTAAGAATTCCGTTGACTGTCATATAGTTCATGTACCAGCAACATTCACACTAAAATTAGGAAAGGGATCCTCTTCAGATTCCTTCCTTGTTCTATCAAATCAAGGAATCTGTACTATTGAAATTTGATCTAATAGCTACAAACAGGGATCCACTTTAAAAGTTATAATAACTTCAACCGTTTGATCAAATTTCAATAGTACAGATCCACTGATTTGATATATTAGAAGGAAGAGATCCGGATCCTAAAATTAGAGTACAGGGTAAGATAGAATTTGTGTTGTTTTTCCACTATTTTGTTTTGGACAAACTAATAACAGAGTTTTCTCCAAAAAAAAAAAAAAAAACTAATAAGAGAGTTAATTAGTTACATCGATTAGCAGCCTTATTGCAGAACTTTTGAGTTGTTGCGTTGGGCTAATCAAATGATCTGGTGAAGATCGAGCAGGTATGAATGTTGAATAAAAAAACCTCCGGTAGGACGGTGGTAAGAGTTATCATAATAACATATATGATTAGCCATTAACAAATCATTATGGATGGCTCAGTAGTTGTGATAAATATCAGATTTGTATTTTATATGGTATATTTTGGATTTGATTCATGGTGCTAGTAAATCGCATGATGGTGGTCAAGAGAGGCTAAAATACTTTTGTAAGTCTTCTCAACTCTGAAATGGTGAACTATCGTGACGAAGCCACCAGTTGATCTCTGTCTAAAAAAAAAAAAAAAAAACCATTAACAGAATGGCATGTCTCAGAAAAAACATACAGCTTTTCTCTCTTTTTGTTTTTGATTTTTAATACATTGTTTTTAAATTTTTAATACACTAGTGAGCAAAATAATTAAATCTTCAATATTAGTCCCCCAACATGTCACCATGTGTGATCATTTGTTCTGTTATTGTGGAAGAATGAAAGTTTGAACTTTAAGCATCTCAAATGCTAGATTATATTTTTAGACCTGTATTCTTGTATTTAAATTTTAAAAAGTAGTCGATTTGATGGTTTTTATGTTCTCTTCAGGTGCAAGGACTTATGTTATTAGACTCATATTCTTATATAAGGAGGCAGATTCTTTGCCCTCTCACTTTTCGTAGCCTCCTGTTTTGTGTGGTCACGGTTAAGTCACGTCAACATTTTATATTACTATTTCTTTTTGTCTTATTATCTCTATAAAAAATTAATATAAAATGTTGACGTAGCTTAACCGTGACCACACAAAACAGGAAGGTACGGGAAGTCCCTTATATAATGCTACCTCTAGTTTAAAAAGACAAAAGTTAAAGGTTATAAAGTCATATTTGACTCTAAATGTGATACTACAAGTTATAAAATCTTAAATGCATACAAAGTCAAATTTTAATTTTAATTTTAACTCGTATACCTTAGAAGTAATAAGTCAATTTTAAAGTTAAATATAACTTTTCTATCTTCTAAAGGTTGGGTTCTCACTTTTTACTGTAGAGTTATATCTAAAGTGAAATATAACTTAACCTGTGGCACCAAAGTCATATTGACCCCAACTTTTTGGGCATTGGAGGTAAGTGGTGTCAAATATAACTTGTGACTCAAAAATTTTAGATGCATTTGAGATAGTCTAAGATTTGAGTATTAATATTGGAGAAGAAAACACGGTCAAAACTCATAAATACAAAATTCAAGAATGTGATGTTGGAGGCAAACTCAAATCTTGTTTTTCTAGGTTGAATGACATTTTTCCTTATTTTGCACAGCCTCTACCTTGGACTCATATCTCGTAAACCCAAATTTAACTCACTTCGCCTTTGTCCGGAAATTGAATAATGTTATGCTTCCGATATGATGTTTTGCCTTATTTTTAGTGTGAAATCTCATTCTGAAATTTATTATTTATTTATTTTACAATTTTTGAAAGAAAAAAAATAATTTCAGCCATCTTAAATTTACTGTGGCTTCGAGGTGGATTTAGAATGCATGGATAGAGCTCGAATCCACGAGCATTGGAAGTGAGTGGCATTTTTATATTTTGCCACTTACCATAAATAGTAAGTTTCTGTTGTGGGACTTGATAGAATTGGAAAATTTTCATTACTGGAAAATTAAACTAGCCTAGACAGATTGAAGCTTTCACTTGCCTCTACGAAATCCACCTAAGACAGATTGAAGCTCTAACTAGCCTAGACAGATTCTAGCCATGTCCGGCAAAATTGGTTAACGCCCCCACCCAACCACCAAATTGAAGCTCTCACTTCCCTCTACGAAATCCACCTAAGAACCACCTCGATTAACCATGTACGTGGCATTGTATGGCCACGAAATTTGATGAGTTTCGGTAGCCCTATCTTTTTTCCGCGAATTGGTTAAACAGCAACGGACGCCACCATTTAGGTTTTGTAACCCATCATCCCATAATTAAAGCCTCACCAACCTCGACCTCGTTGTCGTGAAGATTATGACACCTGTGACTTTTGCTAGCGAAATTGGCCATCTTCCGTCCACTTTTAGATATCGTGGCAGGTATAAAAGTTGTTCATTGTGTTGAGATATACATGATGTTTGTACCATACTTGACCAATCCTGAAACTACTGAGCATCGGTCAACGTTATACCGTCAAGGACCCAGAAGAGTTTCCCTCCAACCAGGAGGCCAATCATAGCGCGACACGTGTCGACATCAAAAGCCAATTATAGCGCGACACGTGTCAACATCAGAAGCCAATCACAACATGACACGTGTCAATGTCAGAATGAAACTAGAAACTCTCTTCTATAAATAGAGATCATTCTCTCACAATATGGCCTAAGGTCATTTGTACTAAATCATTCACTAGGACTCACAAAAAGAGAGCTTGAACCTATGTACTTGTGTAAACCCTTCACAATTAATGAGAACTCCTCTACTCCATGGACGTAGCCAATCTGGGTGAACCACGTACATCTTGTGCTTACGTCCCTGTCTCTATCCATTTACATACTTATCCACACTAGTGACCGGAGCAATCTAGCGAAGGTTACAAACTTAACATTTTCTGTTGTACCAAAGTCCTCACTGATTTTGTGCATCAACATTTGGCGCATTCTATGGGAACGACACTTATTCCCACTCTCTTCAGCTTTGCCAAGTTGGTTTCCACCATTCGTACACTCTCTTTTGACTAGACATCCATTTCCAACATGGGGAGTGAAGGAAACCACATCACACATAATGACACCCATTTTGCACCTAGTGCGAAACAACGAAAGAAGGAAGGAAAAAGGGTTGCTTTTCAAGCTAAAGTCGATGAGCTAGAAGCTAAGAACAACAAGATAGCAATGAAGAATGAGGTCTTCCAGGAGTAGTATGAGAAGCTCTTTGAGACGCTCCATGAAACTAGGCGTACTCAAACACGCGAGCTCGTTGCCCTTGTGGACATCAACCATCATCTGGGTACCTCCTAACATGGAGGGTCACC